TCCAACATTGTTGATATCATCCCATATGGAGGCAGGGGTTTCCCAGAATGCCTTTCCCCTGCTGTTCAGGATCGCCTGGAAGGCATAGGGAGGGTGATTGATTTGGTGATCTGAAGGCAGGAAGGTGTGAGGGGCTGTGTAACAGAAGAGGCAATGAGTCGGCATGAGAACTCAGGGTTAGAGAAGGAGGTGAGGAAATTTCAAAAGGTACCTGGACCCCAGCATAAGCATTGTTGACCAACACATCCAGGCGCCCATGCTGTTCCCGATCCACTTGCTCAAACAGGCTTTGTACTTGACTCTCCTGGCTTGAATCACACACCACGGGCACACATCGGCCCCCAAGAGATTGTGCCTGAGAGGGACAGGAGATAGTCACACACAAGCTGAGACACAACACAACTCCCCCAACCAAAGTAGGCCTGAGAACTGAGAAGGCAATCGTAGGAAAGCCAGCAGCTGAGATCAGCGGGCAGGCAATGCTGCCCTCTGGTGTGTGTTTTGAGGACTTTCAGGAATGATAGGCCTGCCCATCAGAGTGAGGTGAATGAGGACCTCAGGTTTAATTATCTACAAGGATTTACTGGGGTCTAACACATGCAGGGGATTGTACTCTGCAAGTAGAGTGCAAGAACAAGTAAGGCATGGTGCCTGCTCTTGACACATAAGCAACCATCCTTTTCCTTGACCCTGGTTATTTCCATGTCATGCCCTTCACCACTCACCTGGAACCCCCTATTCAATCACAGTCCAATTACTCCACCAATGCTGCTGCTTGGTAATCAAAGCTATTAGAAATGAACTATTTCTACTTCCTGTACTGCCTTGCGGTCTACAAATATGCCCTCATCCTCCAAATTTAGAGGAAGAAGAGTACTTTATCCAAGAAGAATCCTCCTCTTCCAATCCATGCTCTGCGCCTCAGGCTATTGTCCCTCCTTACCTGAACTACTGCAATACCTCTTAACTACTCACTCTACCTCCAGACTTTCTGTCTTGAATTTACTCCTCATAGTCCAGCCAGTACGAACTATCTAAAACACAAAGCTGTTTAAAATGTTATCTTGGATCACCATTTCTGAGAATACAACCTAAGTATCTACTATGGTCTTCCAAGACTCACTCTTTCCTCTCCAGTCTCTTACCACTTCTCCCTCACTTTGTCTCACAACATCCACTCTCTCTCCCCACTGACCCTCTGCTCATGTATAGCTCCCTCTGCTGGAATGCTTCCCATAACTTCCTTTCCCACACATCTTTCAAGACTCAGTTCAAGAACTACCTCTCCCAGAAGGTTTTCCCAAACCACGCCCCTAACCACGCCCTCATTCTAGGGGCCTGCCCCCTCGATATTCTTAGAGCATTGTGTGCATATCACCCCCTGAGAAATTACTACTTTCACATTATATTGAAATGAGTGATACCGCCTCCTGACTTCCTGTTGGACTCTATCTTTTAAGAGCAGAAATTATATATTATTAGTGTTGGTAACCAAAATGCTTTACACAGTGCCAGTAAATTATGGGGCTCAAATATTTATTTAACTGAAATCGAGTCCAGAAGGCAAATGAGTATGTACAGTTCAATAAAGTCTTGCCTAAAATAGAGGAAAGCACAGGTCCACAATCCTTTAGTTGCAATTCATAAACTCCCTGAAATGCTCAAAGTTTTTTTTTTTTTTTTTGAGTTGGAGTCTCTGTCGCCCAGACTGGAGTGCAGTGGCACACTCCCGGCCACCGCAGCCTCGACCTGCTGGGCTCCGGCGAGCCTTCCACCTCAGCCTTCCAAGTAGCTGGAACTACAGGCGCGCGCTACCACACCCGGGCTAATTTTTGATTTATTGT